AGATCTATACCCTTCGCTCTTCATCCTCCAATCTCTGGTGTCTTACACTGGTGGTGGTGGCGGCAGCGGTGGAGCTGGGAGTGGTCAATTTCAATTTGGTGAGTCTTACTTTTCTGTCTCCTCCATTTCATTGTCTCTGAAACCCCCTGGCTTAGGAGCTTATATATTAGTGATGATAAATTTGATTCCAATGATATGCTGCTGCCTTCACTTGGGATTGTTGGTGTGCTTAAGATGGGGCTGTGTTTCACCAAGCTTTTCGGTCGCCTGTTTTTAAAGAGAGAAATTCAGATTCTTCTGGTTGGTCTTAGCATTGCTGGTAAAACCACAATTATGTACAAGCTCAAGTCGGGTGAAGTTGGCACAACTACCCCTACCCCTACCATCGGTATGCTGTCAATTGACAATCATTTTCTATAGCTTTGTACAAATATGAAGTTGAAGTGTGTCATGTGCCTTTCACAAGACAAGTGATATCATATATGTTTAATTACTGGCAGGATTTAATGTGGAGACTGTTGAGTACAACAACATTAACTTTGTTGTATTTGATATTGGTGGTTATGACCTGGTAAGCAATATTACTTTGTCAAACTCATAATATTCTAAGTTGTGTTTGGATGTGCTTGTACTTTTTTATAATTCTCGATATTGGTTTGACGGGTTTCAGATTAGAGGTTTGTCGAGGTTCTACTTCCCCAACACACACAAGGGCTTATCTTTGTGGTCGATAGCAATGACCGAGACCGTGTGGTCGACGCCAGAGAAACTCTGCATAGGTTGTTGAGTGAGGTACTAGCTACAATGCTTTGTTACTTGAACTTACAGAATAATGGACGCAAGAGATATTTTATTTTGTTGGTACCATCTCTCTTTATTTGTCTGCAGGATGAATTAAGGGATGTTGTGTTGCTTGTGTTTGCAAACAAGCAAGATCTTCCCAATGCGATGAATGCTGGTGAGATCAGTGATAAGCTTGACCTTCATTCTCTTCGACAGCGACACTGGTAATATGGATAGACATGCCTCCTCCCCTTTGCTTCACTCCTTTTCTGCATCACACACATACATAATCTGATCTTGCAGGTATATCCAGACCACATGTGCCACTTCTGGAGAAGGGCTATATGAGGGACTGGATTGGCTTTCAAACAAAATTTCTAACAAGGTAAGCTTTAACCATGTACCCATAGTTTTTTGATCTCCTTTGTTCTGCATGTTAATTCATTTTATTTGGTAATTGCAGGCTTAGTGGGTGATCACTCTTTTTGGATTGGTTCTGTTTAACTTTGTATGGTTGCACATTGTCTGGAGTATGTATAGTCTATAGATGTAATCTCCATCATTTTATTATCATCCCTTTTGGTGTTTTAGATATTAGTTCATACTGTGGCAATAAAGCACAAAGATGATTATTTTCGAGATTACTCTTTTCTTTTCTTCTTCTTTTTTTTTTTTTAATTTTCCAGCAATTCACCAGCAACCAAACACACCGAAGTAAAGCAATAATCAACACAAATATGTGTATATATAACTGCAAATTGTGAATAAAAATTATGAATAAGTGAAACAATAAATTGAAAAAACTTTACACCTACCTGTCATATTACTTGACGATAGGACTTTAATTTACATGTCAATAACAGCAGAGCAATTAAAAACTACTACTACAAAAAAAAAAAGAAAAAAAAAGTTTAAAGGCTAGTTCGATTATTAACCCTATCCTATCCATTAATAGGGCCTTGGGGGTCCTAATCTTCCACTGCTGCATAAAAAATTGCCACTATGCATCTATATTTTTTCTCACAATTTTTGAACCACTGATTGATAGGAAAAAGTCAAACTTGATTTTCCTTTGCTTCATCGCTCTTTTAGGTCATCATAGACCGAGTCCCAAGAGATCGTACATCCCATATTTTAAATGTTTAATTGGACAATATTTGATATGTTATTGTATATTTATTACTGTTATTTTATGGTATGATATAATTATTTTTTTGATATTTTTTCATTATTTTTAGGTCAGAGTGATCATGTTAATGTGAATATGTCATTGTTTATATGTGAATGTGAATATGTTACCATGTATTTGGTAACATTTTTTGGGGCATTTTAGTATTTTGGTGTCAGAATGTCCTTTGGATAAATTACCAAAGCAACTCCATGGATACTAAACTTAACTAATCAAAATAACATTTTTTATTAACTCTGAACAACTTCTATTGATTCACCCATCGACACTCTTTATTTAATAATTATTTCAACTAACTTTAATTACAATTTACACGTTACCCAAATGCAGAAACAAACAATCAAGAAAATCTATTAGAAAACCAAATTTTTACCGCAACATAACAAATTAAAGAATTTTTCTTCTAGATTTGCTATCGGCATTTGGATCCAGAGAATAATAAACCAGGTATGCAAACCACATAATCATTCTAGTTTTAGTGGGTTTGATCATGGTTTTTTGGGTGGGATTTCATGGGTTTTTCGGTGGGAATTCAATGGATTTTTGGTAGGATTTTAGTGGGTTTTTTTGGTGGAATTTCAATGGATTTTCAGTGGGGTTTTTGTGTGTTTTCCATGGGTTTTTTTGATGGAATTTCAGTGATTTTTGGTGGGTTTTGGGTTTAGGTGGATTTTCAGTGGTATAAATACACAGTTTTTTTTGTTGTGTGTGTGTGAGAGAGAAACTCCATACTCGGGTGGACGATGAACCTTCTGTGCGATGATGAAGACGAAATCGGGGTGCTATGGAGCTTTTGTGAGAGAGTCAGGAATTTGGGGGTGCTATGAAGAGACGAAATTGGCACAAAAATGAGCTTTTGTAGAGAGGCTAGCTAGAAAAAATGAGCTTTGTGGGAAGAATGGAGAGGGAAGAAATAGCAAGGGAAGAATGGGTTATTTATGGAAAATAGCCAGTCAAATACATTGGAATCAAATTTTGTGGAGAGGTTATCTAAAATAGTTAAGAATTTCTCTTTCTCTTAGGAGCCCAAAAGTAAAATAAAGTGTACCGAAAATCAAAAATACCCTCCAAAACACCCGCACAGAGACGAGTATTACTAGAACGGGTGAGTTGGGTTAAATTGGATTGGGTTAAAATAAATTCAATTTATTTTTTATTCACATAGTAAATGAGTTATGATGGGTTGGGTTAAATCGATTAACCCATAAAATAATTAAAATTCTTAATAGACACATTAATACATCAAAATACACACATATATTAGTAGTACACCAAAATACAAACATATACACATAGATACACCAAAATAAATACAAATTAATACATTAAAAATATACATATTAATACGTTAAAATACACACTAATACACCAAAAATATACACACATATATTAACACAAAAACTAAAGCACATTTAATCAAAAAATTACGCACAATAGGTCGAGGTCAATTGTGGGTCATGGGTCGATCTATGGGTTGTGGGTCAACCCATGGGTTATGGGTATACATTTATTTAATTTTATTACTTGTACTATTTAATAAAAAAATAATTGTTCAACCCAATGGGTATTCATTTATAATCTATATTAACCTGCTTAATTACAATGAATCATATTACCCAATTCATTTAGAATTCATATTAATTAATATAAATACCCAACCCATTTATTTATAAATGGATTTGAAACTTTAAGTATTTCTGTTACACTGCTGCTGCCGGTGGCGGTGGTGGAGACATTTTTCTGTGAATGATCAACAACAACTTCCATTGAAAAAAAAAAAAAAACAGCTGGGCGGAAATGGGATGCCAGGTCAAGAATTGAAACGCTTCAGTTGGGTGGGACGTTGTTTCACTATAACAAGAATGACCCAATAAAAAAACAGAAAGGAAAAATTACACAAATTTCTTTAAAGTTTGTGACTTAATTATTTAGACTTTTTATATTTGAAATACCGTATTATATATATACCCTCTACATATTACATGTTTTAAACTTGAGGGGGTCTATGTGTTATGAGCATATAAAGTTTAGGAGATTTTATGTAATATTTTAAATATTAGGGAGTTTAGGGGAATAATTGGCATAATTTAAAGGGTCTAGTGTAATATTTCCAATCCCCGATACTTGGTCGCCAAGAATTGTTCTGTTTCTAACAGCGGTGGATGGAGAATGGGATGGACTGGACTATTTCATTCCCTCCAAATTTAAAATATAGGCTTGCTTCATCATTTCATTTCTTGGATTGGGTTTCCTACAATGCCTTACGTATGTATATATGTAGACAGACCCCTTCGCTTTTCTTCCTCCAATCTTTTGTACTTGTTACACTGGTGGTGGTGACTGCTCCATCCATTTCAATTTCCTGATCTCCCATTCCCGATTCTCTCAGACTGCCGATCACATCGTGAGTCCCTTTTCTCTTTCCTCCATTTCTTTTGTTACTGGAATAGTTTTTATTTTATTTTTTGGGTAAACGAAGAGTTTTCACAAGTTACATGGAAAAAAACATTTTGAATTTACTTGGTTCAAACTCATTCCCATGTACACTTTCGATCAAAAAACTGGGTGGTTTCGATGACATTATTCAATGCCATTAAACATTAAGCCCGCTGATAAAGCTTTGTTGCTTAGTGGTTTGTTCCATTGTTATGGAGGCACTTGCTTGTCTGTTGACCTAAAATTGTATTTCTGCTTTGCAATTAGGATATGATATGCTGGGAGGTAGAGAAGGTTTTGCTATAATTGGATTGTAAATGTGAATCTCTTCATATACTTTACATTTAATTACCTCCTGTGATTTTGCTGTTTCTCATCTTCTTCTTAATGATTTTTTTTTTGTCCTGAATAAAGTTCAGTTCTCATTTTATTTTGATTTGTTGAAGCACTACCACTGGTTCCAAATAAATTTTTTACTCTGAGCTCTTTCTAGGTGGTTTGCTGATATATTTTAAATTTCGCACGCAAGTGAATTTATCTCCTACTATGGTCAATGATGGTAATTTTGACCCAAATGATACACGATCTAACGATGGGGCTGTCTTTCACGAAGCTTTTTAGTCGCCTGTTTGCTAAGAAAGAAGCTCGCCTTCTTATGGTTGGTCTTGACGCTGCTGGTAAAACAACAAATTTTGTATACGCTCAAGTTGGGTAAAATGTCACCACCATCCTTACCATCGGTATGCTGATAACTGTCAAATTCAATCATTTTCTTGTGATAGATTATTACTGCTTGAAGACAGTGGACAATGCCCTTGAGGCTTAGATTGGAAGACCTTATCTCATGTGCCTTTAACAAAACTTTGGACTGTATGAGATTGATGAGGTTTTGGTCATGATGGCTTTGTATGTAGATGCAAGAATCTCTGCACTTCTGAAACGCATTTCTCATTTCTAAATAAACATCAAAGACATTGCAATCTGCATGGAAATTTTTCCTCAGATCGTATGATTTAGAATCAAGTACCTTACAAAATGCACACATCCATTAACATTGTTAACTTGGTTTACGAGGCAACTGAAATAATACCCCTTGCATGTTTGTTGTGGGACATAAGTAACATGATCTCTTTGAGGGTAACCACAATTTTTTATTTGTGGACATTGTTTATTCTTTTTTCGATCATATGTGTTTAACTATTGGCAGGATTTATTGTGGAGACTGTTGAGTACAACAAAATTTGCTTTACTGTATGGGATATTAGTCATCAGAACAATGTAAGCAATTGTTTTATTTCTCAATTTTATAGAACGTATCCTTGTAATAAAATGCCCCTATTATAGCTCGTGGCCGGTGCGGTGCCAGATTATGCCAGTGTGATAAATTGATGTCATTTTAAACTTGGATATACTGTAGTCGAGTCGCTATTAGACATGTCCCTGGTTGGTTCATCTAGTTCATGGCTTATACATACATGAGAAGATGTCGCCTTCACTAACAAAATACATGTATGCGCATACATACATACATACATGATTGTCTGTTACTGATCGTGCTCTGTATCAGCACTCAACACTATCATAAGCTATCAAAGCCACCTTGGCTTTCAGTCTTCCTTAAAGTCACGAAGTAAAGGCATCCAAAAGTTGTGGCTCTTTTTTTGCCTTTCTCAACTTGTTCCTGAATGCGGTGTATGTTGGCATGCAAAATGAGTGTGCATATATATTCCTCTGTTGGGAAACTGGCGAGCACTTGCATTTCTAAAGTGACATTCTCTTGGCACCACTGAGCATCATCATATACCAGATTTACCTTGGCCACCATGTCTTTCTGTCTTTTTTTAGAGTTCACAAAGAAAGGCCAACAATAATGTGGTCAATATTGCGTAGTATCTATTTGACATATGCTCATGACAGTGTACTATGAAAGCTAAGCACATGTAATCAGATCATAAGCTCTATATGCTTTGGTTGCATTTTTTTAATTCCTTATGGTGTGGCGATTGATGATTTACATTTTTGCTGACATATTTGTTCATTCCTCATTTGATAAATGTACACACACACACACACACCCCCCGTATGTGTATTTATTTGGACATACGTTGAATCTGTTCCCAAGTTGAACTGAGAACTATACTGTACTTACGTATTTTCTAAAAATCATCTAATTTTTGTTTGTTGTATTTACTCAAAATCCTCTAATTTTTGTTTAGATATGTTTTTTTAAGGAAATAATTCTATAATTTCCAATGTTGTTTTGAGCGGTTTCCAGGGTAAACGTTTGTGGAGGTTCTACTTCAAGGACACACAAGGGCTGATCTTTGTAGTCGATAGCAACGTTCGAGATCGTATAGTCGAGGCAAGGATGAGCTAACTGAAATTCAGTCTGGTGCATGTGTACAGAGGGTAATACGCTGGCTGATTTGGGCAGTCCAGTGTGAATGCTCTTCAGACTTTACTACTGCCATGGATATTCCTATTCCTGCCAAGATATTACTGATGCATAACAAGCAGAGGCGTAGAACTTTACGAAAGAAAATTGTATTTTCTTGATTTTTTTGTATTTGTTGATTAGCAAGTTGTAAAGGCAGGAATGTCTGCTTGTTTCATTGATTGTAAAATTTGGTAATGGAATAAAAGTGTTGATTTGTTTCTTTAAAAAAAAAAAAAGGGATGAGCTAAACTGGATGTTGAATGAGGTACTACAATGCTTTGTTAATTGTTACTTGAATTTGCCAAATATAGATTGTAATGGAAGGTAATCAGTAAATAAGATTCAGAAAAAAAGAAAAGAAAAGAAAATGTTGTGAGGGGGAAATTTCATTGTATAATGAGGTAACTCCATTCTGAAATATTTCATTTTGTTGGTACTATCTGTTCATTTGTCCACAGGATGAATTAATAGATGCTAAGTTGCTTGTGTTTGCAAACAAGCAAGATCTTCCCAATGCGATGACTGCTGCTGAGATCACTGATAAGCTTGGCCTTCATTCTCTCGGACAGCGATGCTGGTAAAAAATATAACCATGTCTCTCCCTCCCTCGCCTTTCCACACACACGCATCTAATACTGCTGTAAACCTAATAGGCATATCCATAACACAAGTGCCATATCTAGAGAAGGGCTATACGAGGGACTGGATTGGCTATCAAACAACATTGCTGACAAGGTAACCTTTAGCTATAATAAAACACTTAATGCTGTTGACTTGTATTTAAATAGATTCTCCTTTGTTCTGCATGCTAATTCATGTTATCTGGTAATTCCGGGCTTAGTGGGTCATCACACTTGATGGTTTGGTTCTGTTTAACTTTGTATGGTTGCACATAGGCTAGAGTATAGATGGAATTTCCATCATCTTATTACCATCAGTTTTGGTGTGTTCAGACATCAATTCACACTAGCAAGAAAACAAAGATTATTGCTTTTGAGATTAGTCTTTTCTTCATTTTTTTCCCTTTTCACATGTACTGTGCTTGATAATATACTTAGCTTTGCATATTGGATTTGTTTCTCCTTCATTCTTTGTATAATTCATGCTGGTGCGCTTGGGGGAATGTCAGTGAAAATAGTTGTTCCATTACATTTACATAGTTTGAATTTCATGTTTTGGTTTTGATGTCTGATGTGACTATTTCAAGCATGAACACAAATGTGGATTTCCAAATTATTTTGGACAGAGTTTTAGCAAGAAGCTTGTGAGATACCACGTTTAAGTTTTATCCACCCAAGAACCATGTGGTGCTTTTAACTGATAAGTTGAAAATGTTGTCAATGGGATGATAAAAAGATTGCCTTCTGGCCAAGGTAACATATGGTTGTAAAAAGAAAACTTAGATGGCTTGCATTTTGGATTGCAATGCTCCTTCCAATTTCTTTTGAATACCATTATTACACAAAGCCCTTGATAATAAAGCCAGGTGGTTCTCCTGAATTAGTCGTTGTATACTGTTGATAGAATAAGAGGAAGGAACAAGTTGGGGATGAGCTAACATCTACATGTATGGGAGGAGGGCTGGAGTGGATGCTTTTGGGCTCTGAATTTGTATTATTAGGATGAGGGTGGGTTTTTTGGCCAGTGGTTAGATGGGATCAACAACCAAACTACAATTATTTCTAGCTTTTTGTTGAATTATGCTTTCTTTCCAATTTTATATCTTAATCTACAGTCGTCGTATTAATCTACACGTTTGCATTGCAGACTGTTTTTTACATCGCAAAAGATGCTCTATAGGTTTTCTATTGAAAGCGTGTTTTTTGGAAACACTTTTTATGTTGAAATTATGTAAGAAGTTAAAAAACTAGTAGAGAGATGTCTGCTGATATTTTTGAAGGTGATTTTCCAGAAGTCTAGTTTGCATTATACTTGATCTGTTATCAAAATTACATTTCTTCTATTGTATGTATCTTGTATGGCTATCAATATATGTGATTAGATTCAGTAATAAAATCCACCATTGAGCATATCACAATTACAAATAATTTATCTTCCATTAAGATCAGTTATATTCTGTACTCATCCCCGTATATCAATCACCCATCAAGAACATAAAGCACAGCGAGTGCAATATGGTTGAGCCAGATCAGTTTCTGACTATTGTCCGTCATTAGAGAATAGAGATGGATGAGTTGGTGGTTTGTTGAAGATTTCTTCACATTTAACTGTCATCTTCATCGCATCAGTCACCAATTTAGTCATATTCACTTGTTGTCTTTTTTGTCAGATAATCGGTAGGCACTGTTCAACTTACCCAAAACTAGTCTGTAATTATCGAGACAGTATGCAAAAGTTCATTTTGCAACATGGGATCTGTTTCCTTAGGGAGGAGCTCATTAATGACATATTTGTTCACTCTGGCTTGTGCTTTTGTTGAGAGGACAGCGATGATCCCGAGCTCAATGATGCTAGTAGCTTTGGGAGTTAATATCGAGAGTACTTTTGCAGAAGTCATAGTTCATGGTTCCCCCGCATATCACAGAAACCACTAGGAAAAGGAAAAGGAAAACAGCTCCAGTAGAGGAGGAGGCGATTGTCTATTTCTCTTGGTGTTGAGCTTGAATGCAAAGTGGGAAGGACGGACCAATGGTGATGATTAGTACATCAAATTGTGAACCTATTAAATTGTCTTCAATGTTTGGAAGGGATGATTTATTTGAATCATCATGCAATATGTGTGTAAATTTGATTTGTTATATTGTTACAGAGGTTTGTCATGGCCCAGGGGACAGGAATTAGTGGTAACTGCTAAGCCATTTATTAGTTGTTGTATTAATCAACTTTTCTCTACCAGCTGTGTTTTACCAAAAGATGCAACTGTATTCAATGAGCCATGCTTGCTTGACTTGAATATAAGAAAAATAGTGTATTACATAATAATAATTAGCTAGTTATGAATTTTTGTGAGGTTCACTTATTAATGGATAATTACGATATGTGTTGTGTCGCTTCTAACGCGGCGGTGTAATTGTCGATGTTACACCCAATATAATATTTTTTATAACAATAATAATAATGATATAATTTCAACTTTTAAATAAATTCACCGGATTTTGAACCCACAAATCGGTCATTTAAAATTTGTCAGTGTGATTTTGGGGGTCGTAGTCCCAGATTTGGTGTGAGAGGTGTCCAGCGATTTAACAGAATCTTCTGACACAAAAGTCAAAACCCTAACTAAAGGGACAGAGTCAAATTAGCCTAGTCTTTTCCTCCCTCCGAGTCTCCGGTCCGATCCGACGCAATTTCAGTGATTTAAAATTTTAAAGGCTACGATTCTACGATTCGACTCTTCGGAGAGAGAGAGAGAGCCCTGTATTTATTATCTCAGAGATGGAAGGAAGGAAGGAAGGAAGGTAGGAAGGGTTTGGTTAAGCTGTGCTCATGGCTTCACATCTCCACCCAATAACTTATGTCATTTTTGCGTGCAGTGATCCTCTCATACTCTTCCTTTTTTGTTACTTATTTTTCTAGTGTTAATCTGGGGATTTCACGAATGACTCAGAGCTACTGGGATTTGGTCTCCCTTCCTATAGTTTCCTTTTTATTGTACTAAGGAAAAACAAAAAAAAGTCAAGGGATTCTTAGATCACTCACGCAAAGATGATTTGAGTTACTGCTCGGTGTTGTGAAGGGCGAGCACCATGAGCTGAGTTTACAAGAAATAGAAGGGAGAAATTGTGTCCTCCTCCTAGCCCAGCCCCTAGGGATTGGATTGCAAATGGTGAGTGAGGTATGAATTAGTCTTTCGTTATTTTACTGCATAATCTAATTGAATGATATTTCATTTCTGTCAGCTTATTATTAGTTTACTGACTTTTCATATCTTGTTATCCTTCTAATTACTTGTATATTTGTTTTCCTCATCTACATTATCACCTCTTTGTGCTTCAATTATAGGGCCATATATTTGTTCTCTGCTTCTTCTTCTTCTTCTTCTTATAGTTTACATATTTAAAGCAGAAAATTCAGGTCAAAAAAAAAAAAAAAAAAAACCCAATTCTGTCTCCGTTTGGTCTTCTATAACTTTTCCTTTGACACGTGAATATCAATGAAAACAAAATTCTCTGTTTCTGATTTTGTCTTGAATAGTGCTTGGGAAATGAAAACGGGCAGTAGCTAGCTATGCAGGGGGTGGGGCAGTTAGGTGTGAAGATGGGTAATTCAGCAGGGTAAACTTCATTGGAACTTGCATTCTCATCGTTATAATCAAATAGAACTGAAGCCTATATTAGATGCATTTACTAATTTTCTGCTCTCTGTTATGTTTGTTAATCAATTAGAACCTGAAGCCATACCTCTAGATAACATCAGGAGGGAGGGTTGGTGATATGAATTGCTTTATTGTTGAGGTATATATTTAAGAATGGTTACAGCGATTGGTTTTAGCGAGCCAACTCAACCAAATGAGACTGCTCTTTTCAATCAATTCAAATAGATGGCTCCATTTTCTCCCAAATAAAAAGGAGTGGTTCAGGGAAGTCCTCATACTAGTAGTTTTGGTATTGTGGAGAAAAAGTAATTTGTCAAAGGCATTGCCCTGCATAAAACTTTCATGTGCTTCCCGTTCTGGCTTACAGGTGTTGTGTAGCCAGATATGTGATAAAAATAGGTATGTAGCTTTACTTTGAACCAACTTCTAACTCTTTTTTCTTGCTTATGCGGGTTTTCCCCTCAAGGCTTTGAGAACTGTGGAAATCTTGTCCTCACACAAGTGAGTGCACCCCTGGGAGGCTGGGACCATTGTTGTTAGGCTTAAATTGCTAAATAAATTATTTTAATTATAATTACACATGGGACTCTGAATCATCACAGTGCAGTCACAAACATGTAAGCATACAAAGATTTTTGATTACTGTGACCAGCTAAATTGCCAAACCACTTGACAATCGTGTGTTCCTGCATCGAACAACCGATCCGTGCTTAAGAAGAATCACCATCTTTGGAACCTTGCTTATTCTTAATAAATGGTGAATACCCATTCTGCAACAACTTCTCAACCTCCTCAAATTGCAGTCCTTTGGTTTCTGGCACAAGGAAGTAAATGGCCAATAGTCCAAGGAAGGAAAACACAGCAAACAGCAGGAATGTGCCCGCTGAGCCAAGAGCCTCAGTCAATGTCAAGAATGTCTCGCTCACTATAAGATTTGAGGTCCAGTTTGAAACAGCAGCAATTCCTCCACCAATGCCTCTGTATCTCAATGGGTATATTTCTGAGTTCACAATCCATGGCACAGTTCCCATTCCTGGTGAGTACATTATGATATACAATCCCAATAGTATAATTGCCAGAAATCCTACTTTGCTTGGACAACCTTTCCTGTACCACGTACGACTCTCAGCTTTGCATGCACCTTTCAAAATGTCGGTTGCAGCCACACATGCTCCGGCAGCAAACTGATTAGAAGCACATCGTTGAAAAACAAGTTCAATGACAATGAAACTTATTTGTGTCATTAAGGGGAAACTATCAAAAGGAGGGTGAAATTGAATTTTGAGTGCGGTCTCTTAGAACAATGTTGAAATTTTTTACTATTTGAATTATAGGATAATTCCGTATTTGGTAGTGTAGTGTATAAGACGTTCAAGTGTAAAGGTTGAGCTTACTCGGTTGTCTCCATTTGAACAATATGCACAATCTGTTGCTTTCTGCAAGCATGTCATGCAATTCCAAGATGATGCATCTGGAGCCTGCACATAAGCCGAACATGTAGAGTTGGCACCAAAGTGGGCGGATTCAATTTTACTGATACCCGGGGCCGTGGTGGATGCTTGGTAAAACACCCCAGCTAACACCACAAGGCAACAGATTATCCCAAACATAGAGATAATCATCAATCTCCTCCTCCCATATCTATCTACAAAACACATACTAACGATAGAGCCAATAGCATTAAGACCAGAAGTGACAAGAGAGAGTGCTAAAGCTGTCTGGTTTGAAGCAATTCCAGCAAATTGGATAATGGTTGGACTATAATACATGACAGTGTTTATACCAACAAATTGTTGAGCCACTTGAACAGCAATACCAGCGTAGAGCCCTCTCCGAACTACATCATTGCTCCAAGCTTTCCTTAGTTTTTCAATCATACCACCTTCTCCAATGGAACCTTCCTCGGCCTTTTCTTCTTCAATTGATTTGTTCAGGGCTTGCATTTCGTCTTCAACTTCTTCATCAGGATAGATTTTCCCCAATATGGACCTGGCCTCATCAATCTTACCCTGATCAACAAGGTAAAACATATTTTACCACCAACATATGAACGATTCAATTTGATTAGAGAAAAAGTAAATTATCAAAGAAGAATAGTATCACAGACAAAGAACATTGATCAAAACCTTTCGGTAAAGCCATCTAGGAGACTCGGGGAGGGACATCATCAGTACAAATTGAACGAGGGCTGGAATTCCTGCAACACCAAGCATCCAACGCCAGGTTCCATGGACCTGAAACAAATTATGCAGTTGGTTATGCCATGTATTCTTTTGCTTCTAAAATCGAACAACGCAATCAACTAAGAGCAACTAAAGCTTCCCAAATCCTTACTTGTGTGAAAGCTAGATTGATAAGATATGACAGAAACTGGCCTCCTGTGATTAGCAAACCATTAGTGCTCACAAGTGCACCTCTAATTCTATGAGGCGAAGCTTCTGAAATGTAGAGAGGCGCTGTCATGGATGCCATTCCAACCCCTAAACCCACAAGTATTCTTCCAATAATAAGCATCCATGGAGCTGGTGAAACTGCCATAACTGTTGCGCCAACGAAGAATAGGAAATCAGCGACTAAAATTGATATCTTCCGACCAAACCTGTCATTAATCCATCCACCAAATGCAGCACCGATGATGGCTCCTGCTACAGCCATGCTTACTATGGTTTCCTATCCATACACAAACCAAAAAAAACTTTATCAAATTCACTGGTTTGTGGGAAGATAACAAACGTACAAATATCCATGAAGCTTTTCCCATTTGATGTTAGTAAAGGTGATTGAGGTTCTTTTACCTGCAACCATGTCTTCTTGTCAACAGCCTTGAAGTCTTCACGAATGTAAAGGAGGGCACCAGAAATAACTCCTATACCCCCCAATGCAAACAAACTATTAACCAGACAGAGACTAGAGTAATGGTGCTTTTTTTTTTTGGTTCAACAGTCAGGGTATTTGAGTCGGTTTATGTGTATTGCAACTATTTCTTTTTTGGTTCGATTAAAGGCAGGTCATTCACGTCAGGACCCGTTATTCATGAGGGATAAATTTCTTATAACATGATTTCAAAGGATTGTCAAAGTTTGAACTTTGGATGTCTAATTTTACAATTCGTTCTTATTACCATTTGAATTACTGTTGCGGTGAGGAGAAAAAAGCCTAGAGTTTATACCTGTGTCGTAGCCAAACAGGAGCCCTCCAATGCCTGCTGATAAGGCCAGTCTCATGATGTATGGTGTCTTCCATGACGTCCGCCAGCATTCTGTGAATTCTGTTTTATCTGCTTTTGAAATTCCGCCCTCAACCATTTTAGCTTTTCAAAATTAGTTTTGTAGGAGAAAATCCAGGTTCTTGGAAAGAAAAGAAGACACCACCAGACCAGAGGGAATTTTGACAACCTTTAATATCCACAAGGTACGACGATGAAGAAAATTAGCATTGTCAATCGTGTATAATGGAATTAGTTTCTCTATATATACGACATAAGAAAGGCATTAAGTTGAAATCATGTATCTAATATTTCATAACATCTATTTTTACGATTAAAAAGCCATGGCTAAATGCATACGGCCAAGAGAAAAAAATAAATCAATCCATTTTAGTTTCCAAGATGTTGAATACAATCTAAACCATATGATACACTGAAGAGAACACATTGAGGTGATGAAATTCCCATGCCCCCATAAAGCGATATTGCTTCTCAAAGTTAACGCATGAAGGAAGGAGTTTTTAATCATTTCGTAAGAATAACAACAATTTCATGAAAGAAAAGTCATTGTGAAGAGAGACCTTAAAGCCTTCTTATTTTGCAATCTATCCTTCCCTTCAGAATTTCCACCCTTCCCTATAAGCTGCAATTTAAAGAATGATATTCTCTCTCTCCCTAATAATATATCTTTGGGAGGATAAGATGGCTGTCATTGGCTCCACTTAAGTTTCGGATATGGTGATATTCTGGGTAGAATCTGTTGTCCTTTTAGTCTTCAAAAAATGATCTGTAGATAGATACCAGGGTAAAATTCTTTTAAACATTAGGAAGGGGGGGTTTAATGTGCACAAGAGAGTGATGTGCACAATAATGAGGGTTAAAACAATTTTGGCCTAGATATTAATGCACGTGCAAAGGTAGGTAATGTGTAAGTTCAGCTACCTAAAAGATCATGATCATGATTTGCCGGAAATGTTGAAGATTAATTTGACTGGTCAAAACAGGCTAGTGAAAGGGTCAACTGGTTTCCCATATGGATCCATTCCATTCCATTCATCACATCACTTGGCATTTGTATTTGTAAAAGGAAGACGAGTGCTGCCCCTTATTCTTAACATTTCCTGGAGCATACATGTATTGCACAATTATTTGAACCCCTCACACGAACCCAATGAAAAATTTCGGAGTTATAATTCACCTGATATGCATGCATAGTTTATAAGTTGTGATTATATATCTATAGATCTTATATAATAACACCCAATTCAAAGTTTCCCTAACTGCGTTATGGTTGGAACCACCAGTTTCCCTCGTATGCTAGTTGCTCATTTGAAACCAAGTACTTGCATATCACAAACACTCGACATTCTTATAACAACAACAACAATACCCATGGAGCTTTTTCAGAATCCATAGAAAGAACACGAAATAAACAAGCAACAACCATCCCTTCCACTAGCTCTACTCGAGGGATGAGGGGCAGTTTGAGCAGACTAATGGCACATGGAATCAGTATAACAAGATACCACCATTTGCATGCATATTTTTCCACCCACATGATATGAAAGGTGCAATCCTACTACTAAGAAACATCAGAATACACACCTCTCACGTTAGGGAGAGAAAAAATAACCTGATGAAATTCCCAGTGACAGAATAGTAGGGCCAGAACTCGGACATAAAACAAAGAAATGGTGTCATCACAAACTACATTCCACAGTTCAACTCCACTTGAGCCATTCAACAAAAAGGAAACACGAAGCATACAAATCCTTTCAAATAAACACATGCCATTTGAAGAACACATGTTCATAAAATAAGAAAAGAGAAAATAATGGAAGCAACATCTTCAAATTATATAGACAGGAAATTATTAACATTGGTTAAAAGTGATTTTTTTTTATTTACCTAAAAAAATTGGCTTACATTCTTTTTCCTTCTGTTGAAAATCCAGAATCAACTAAGAGCATACAAAAGATATCTTTCATAGAAGGCGTTATTCCCAATCCTAAACTAAATGAGGCAGAAGTATTAATTTATCATGCAACCCTCAACAGGAAATTATCCGGGGATTAGTGTGGACCTAATGCAACAACTGGTAATGCGATGTGTGTAAACCAAATAGGAATTGTGTGAACAAGATAATGTCATGCGTGGAAGAACCCAAGAAAAATCCAATCAAAACAAAATATACTACAGAAAAAATTGAGAACTACTACAACTACTAAAACAAGGTCGACAATTATTTTGTCATGTCTACACCTTGGCATCTCAAACCAAAAGTGGAGAGAAAAAAACAAACCTCAAAATCCAACAGCTGTATTGTGGGGAGGACTGTATTACAATAAACCATAAGGTGTGCAAATATGTTGGGATCACACCATACATATAGAAAAATGAATCACCGAAATTCATCTCACGCATATGCAATTTCTAATCTAAATACAAAAACGCCATTGAGTAGTGGAAAGTTGAAGCCACCAGCTCAACTGCTTCCATTATGGTACAGTTCCATTTTTTAAACCAATGCTTTCTGGCACGTAAAAGTTGATCCCATCTCAAGTAAGGCAATAAGCAAACAATTACAACCATGTAACAATCCAACATACACCAATGCAAAGAAGGAACTACTATACTAAACCTTGCTCTAACTCTTAATCTTAATACTAGAGTTTCAAGCTACTCTAAATTTCTTATTTCCAAAGTCGAAGTGCTGGGTGCTTATTCACATTCTTAAACCAAGCTAAAGCCCGTTAATTGAAAAGGTCAGACATTGACTTAAATGTGGAATCACCAAGCCGCTGGAGTTACCTACAACAGGTCCTTATAAACTTAAGTAAGCAAGGCCAAAGTTAACATTCCGCTATCATCAGAAACATTTAGTGTTTGGAGGAAGCAAGTTTATAACAACCTAGCCTCAAATAGCCCTTACAATTCAAGATAATTATTCAAATTGAATCAGTGAAATCTACTACATGATCGACTTAAACAACAGCAAAGCATTTCTCAGTTTACATCATTGGTACACATATTATCACAAACACAGTAAATATGCCTCAATACTGAAAATTAAAAGAGCAATTCATTACAACTATTTGCATTTAATAAAATCCTACCCTCAGATTTAGCCATAGAACACTAAGATGCAGCCAATCGACTAAACCACATAAAATCAATCTCATGAGCAGTAATAAACCTTGTATAAAGATTAAAAAAATTACTCATCACGGAAGATATTAAAACTGCAAAAATTAAAAGCCCAGAATTCAGTCGGAATACATAGATAAATTCATATGCATCTTAGTTTCTCATAACCTCAAAACATAATTGAAAATTTAAGCTAGACAATCCATTCCATAATTAAAAATAACACAAAGTACTGGGCAGATAATGATATTAAAAGAACTACTGTGACGACGATTATAAAAGTGAACATCACTCAGTCACCGCCAGCCTTCTGGTACACATAGGTGAGCCCACACTTGCCACAGTAATGCCGATCGAAGTGATTGGCCATGAAGGTCCCGGCCCCGCACTCCGCATTGGGACATTCCTTCCTCAGCCTCTGAACTTTCCCAGAATCATCCACCTTATAGAACTGAAGCACCGCAAGCTTAACCTTCTTCTTCTTGTGCTTGATCTTCTTGGGCTTCGTGTAGGTCTTCTTCTTACGTTTTTTGGCGCCACCGCGAAGACGAAGAACCAGGTGGAGAGTGGATTCCTTTTGGATGTTATAGTCGGCTAGGGTTCGGCCGTCCTCGAGCTGTTTTCCGGCGAAGATGAGGCGCTGCTGATCTGGGGGAATTCCTTCCTTGTCTTGGATTTTGGCCTTGACATTGTCAATGGTGTCCGAGGACTCGACCTCGAGGGTTATGGTTTTCCCGGTTAGGGTTTTCACGAAGATCTGCATTTTGGAGGGTTGGGAGAGAGGAGCAATGGAGGCGAGGCGAGCGTTAGGGTTTTGCGATGAGGGGTGCGCGAGTTTATATAGCGTAGGGTAGGGGATAAGGTGGATTTTTGTTTCCGGTTTTACCCTCCAAAATGGGTACATTTACGGTTTTCTGTTAGTCCACAAATGACAAATCTCCAAGCAAATTGCTAAACTTTTACTCGACCCCCAAAAAAAAAAAAAAAATTGCTACACATTTGTCTAATATAAACAAATCAAGATAATATACGCATTGTTGAAATATTAAAGTTTTTCGTACAATTAAGATATTGTATAATTCAAACATAATGCTAAATACATCATCATACATAAAAAAAAAAAAATTAGTCATAGTCATAGTCTTAGGCATCCAAATACAATTCTATTTACGGATCGTTAAAGAAAAATTTAGAATAGGTACCCTGTCCATGTCCATCTAAACCCACTTCCAATTTAAATAAATTGTTTTTGTTTCAAAACTAAACTTTAATTTAATTTTTGCTTCCGATCACTCCTTTGCTAAACCCAATACATTAATTGAAAATCAATGAACAAAAACAAAAACAAAAAACGTGATCATTTATGCAAGTTTAAGTAATGTACGAAGGTTTTATTTCTGACTCTAAAAGTAATTGTTGAAATGAAGGGACATATGGGTGAAGGAGTTTTGACTTGCGAGGGATATGCATGGGTGAATAAGATTGGCATTGGCTACAAGCTACTACTCAAATAGATGAGTAGGATGCAACAACTTGCAGCATTCTGATTTATTATCCAGTCCAGTCCAGTCCAGTGCATGAAAACACAACACCACACCACACTTGCTGTTCTTACTTACTGTTCATCATGAAATAATTAACATCACGTCTTTAACTATTCTTTTTATGTGTTTCTCAAAAATAACGTATTCACATACAACTCTTAATTGCAGCTGCGCAAAATATATCCTGCAGCTTGTCTGATTATAACAACAAATAAATAACATATAGTATACAGTAACTCCTACATCTTAAGCACACCACAAATTTCAGAGATATTTGATCTCTCTCTCTCTCTCTCTCTCTCTCTCTCTATTATGGACATGTCACAACCATAATACATCTATTGCCAAGGCTGTTGGAAGTACGCACTGCATTGAGGGAAGGTATTCAGGAAACTTGAAATGAGTTCCAGTGGCAATGACTGTCCATGTATGAGAACTTGGCGGTATCTCTCTATCAAAGACAGCACAGTCCTTTGCTGATCAACCTCTTCTAAACCACCTATACAACAAAATACAGTCGCAGTTAAGCTCAAGATCCAGAAAAAATATTGAACTATAATAAGATGACCTACATTCCTTCAGCCAATCACATAAACTTGCAAGCACAAACGTCAGTGTAGGGTTGGTAACATCATGCACATATCTATATATATATACCAATCAGAACTTTCGAGACCATCAGAGACCTAAGATATGCTTTCTCAAAAGTGATGTGAATTGACTGTCGCTTGCTGCTTTGGAAGTGGTGTGAAGAATCATTGAATCCACCTCAGGAAATACAGAAAGTAACACAACTGGGCTGTCCAGACTGAATAGTTTTCATTGAATAGAACGACCATTTTATAAAACACGGATCTGATTGTACAACAATTATTCAAACCAATACAAGATGTGAAATAATCCTTCCAGCAGAGTCTCTATAACAGCTAGGACCGTCAATTCCAATCAGTGGTCGAGAAGGTTTATGTGCATGCATCTTTTCAAAAGAGATTTTGTCGTGTCATTTGAGAAAATCTAACAAGAACAAGACTGAAAATAACAAGTCAAACTTCCAATCATGCTCAAATCTTTTTTGAAAGTAACAGCCAAACCAATATGATTTGACGAAAAAGACACTTTTAAATATATAATACTCTGAAAAGTAATTCAATTTCACCCGAGACGTTCATAGTTTAAAAATAATAATAGTGTGAATTTCATAAGAAGTATCAGCTGGATTTACCCAATTCAATCTCCTGATCTTGATCTTCCACATCCCCTTCTTCGACAATGGTCCCATTTTCCAAGGCAATGGCTGCTTTGGCACACCTTGCCAGGAATTCTTCTTCAGTTTCTTCACGGTCATCCTCGGAATCCTAATTACAACATTTAAGGAATTCTGTAGTCAACAAATGAAAGGCCAATGCACCAAATCTTTAATTGCCACATATTTTCTGATCATCTGAGACTTATCAAATAATTAGTCAAATCCATAAGGCATGGCATTGTAATGTTATGTAGGGTGGATATGCTATATAGCCTGCCCAACAGTATGTCTTTTTGATAGCTTTCCTGAAGCATGTCGGATCAAGCAAGAAAGTTAGGTAGTCAAACCTCATCATCATCAGTATCCTCATCACCATCATCTTCATCTTCATCCTCATTCTCTTCATCTCCTTCTTCCTCTTCTTCTTGCACTTGTTTCAACCGCACAGATGCCTCCAACAGAGAAGCAAAGCAGTCTTGCAGCAGACCACTTCCTTGCTTGCCTACCCTTAGCAGCCGTTCAACCACTTTTGCTAATGCCAAGACTGAAAGTTATCAAAAAACTGTCATTAACACCATTAATTAACAAGAAACTTGCCACCCACCATTACTGAATTTAAAATGACTAAACCCCCATGACTTTTCTAATTAAATGTCATGAGAACCAGCAACAATAAGTCATAGACACAGCCACTCAGAAAAATAGGCCGCCTCATAGATATTGAAGTGATGGCACCTTTTGCAAGATGAAGACATCTTAATGTAAAAAAATTGGCCATGGTATCATTAAAACCCCATTTCAAGAACCACATGAGCCATACATGAAAAAGCCCAAAAGTTCATGCTCATGGCCAATTACCCCCTGCAAGACAGAGGTGGGAGTGCTTACCCAATTGAAGATCATATTTTAACCAAATACACATCAACTAGGTAAAATGATCACAGCACCTTCCAGGTAGTTTATAGAGAATAAATAAGCTCACTGCTACTTGGCTAACAGTTGGCGATACCCTTCCCAAGTTTCCAAGTTACTAAAAGGTTGATTTAAGAATTATATATTACAATGCTAACCAGTCAACTTAATCTCAGACTCTGTTGATAGACCATGTTCAAATTTGCTAGTTGAGACAAAACCAAGAGCAGCTGCATAGACTGTGAAGCCATCATGTTCGCTCTTCTCCAAAATCTTCTCCACAGTATCAGGATAGCATAAATAGCACGATGATATCGCAAGCAACAAAGGTTTCCACAGTGAACAGGGCTTCATTTGAATTTCTACAAAGCGAGAGAACACAGCCTGGCTGAAAGCAATAACCAATGCCTGCTTGACACTTTCTCCTTCAAGTGAATATGTCGGAACATGTAACAATAGGTGGACACATGAAGAAGCTCTCCAGATTGCTGATGGATATTGTGAAAAGGCTCCACTGACAAAGGCACCTATTCCTTCGATAATGGATCGTTGCGGCACAGGTGGAGCTGGAGGGGATGGCACATCCCTCACAATGAAATTCTTCAAAGGAAAGTTTTTGTGTAGATTAACAACTTCCTTGATGCAATTGAAAATTGATAAGTCCTCCATCTCCTCCCATTCATGCCAGTCAGCAATCAGATCAGCCCAAACAAGTAACAATTCCAAAATCTTGAGCTTTGAAACCACATCACTTTCAGCAACATCTTGCATAATAAACCTGAGCAATGCTGACGAATCATCAATGCAAGACGAAGGGGCCAATGAAAGAGCATCCTCAACTTCCTGACCATTCACCTTGCAGGGACAAATTCAAACATGTGACATAAAATCAAAGGGCAGTCATACATCAAATTGCCCATTAGCAACACAAGTCATATGGAAAGTCTAAATCCCCCATCCCTTGTCCATGTCCTTAAGCGGATACCAATCCAATAGATGATAGCTTGAGCAAGAAAAGCTATACTGGAAGTTCTCCGCAATATGCTCTCTCTCTCTCTCTCACACACACACACACACAAACACGGAAGAAAAGAAAAAGAGGCCACCCATGGGAGTGCACACAAAGAGCGAGGGAAGTGCAGCAAACAAACTTTGCAGACTGATAAGGGAAACTTGGGAAGATGAAAAGGTTAAGGTAAAAAACAATGCTTTCGAGCCTTTACAGAAATGAGTTCTGTAGACCAAACGACATGTTCATAGATGAAGTGGCATTGGGTAAAACGTGAGTTATTTTCATAAAGAGCATTGGTCTATACTAACCTGGTTTGAAATAAACCCACCAAACATTCTAACAAGATACAACCATTTAATGCCAAAATTCTCTCCTCTTTCTCTTTTCTTGTATTTTCAGCATGTGCGTGTTCGCTCACGTGTGTAAATATATGTATGAGGGCAGTGTGTGTTTGCATGCATGTGCACGTGTATGTGCATTGTTTGTGTACACATGTGAGGGGCCATTGCTTGGGTGGTGGTAAAAGCCTGGGCTAACAATTGTAATGCTATGGATTCAAAAGGAGGGCAGGCACTTATGCAATAATGAATTTCTCCTGTACAATCAAAATAACTTGTTGTAATATAACAGCTTCATTTCAAGGTAACACCATTGAACAACTCCATATAGCAGCAAAACAGGCGAAAGAAGATTTGTCCTACTAATCTTGGAGACATATAGACAAACACATACATATACAGCTACAAATAAATGTTCATATCTAATGCTAAAACAAAAATTGAAACATTGATAAATATCTGTAGTCATTGTCCTGCAAACTACAATGAACAACCTTTAACACTCACCATTTGCTGTGCAGGTCTTAGCCAAGCCTCCTGTAAGAGATCTGAAAAAGCTCCAGCAATGGTAGCCCGACCAGATACCCACGTTTCCCTTGATTCAATCCCTTTGGCTTCCTCAGGCTCAGAGTCTTCCCAACACTGAGCCATCACTGCTAATGCTGCAAAGCCCCGTTCAACCTTCTATTACCAACACAGGGTCAGCTTATAGTCAAACCCACTGTTCAGATTCATAGCTTTCAGTTGTGTGTGTGTGTGTGTGTGAGAGAGAGAGAGAGAGAGAAATTAATCATGGAGTTTAGTTTCTGAATTGACATCCATTATTACCAATCCAATACCTTTTCAAAAAAAAAGAGCTTAGACGGGCAGAAAACAGAGTGTTGAACCCTGTTACGTTCAAAATAAAAATGTGTGTTCTAGCATGTGCATGTGTGTCCGTTTATGCCACAAATTTTCCATACCTCCGCAAGTAACAGCCCATTAATCCTTACACTGCAGGTTAAGAACTCGAATCCAAAGGAATTAAGAAAATCAC